TATTAGCATTTACCTAGCATTGCTAATGCTATTGCCATCACTGGTGAGGATGGCACTTTGCAGGCCCACCCAAAAAAGGATATACGATTCTTTTTGTTACAAGGCGAAAAACTTGAGGCTGCAAATCTGAAGTATGCGCACATAGTTTTACAATTACGATATATGATTCCTTCGCTTATGATGCTTTCAAAAACCGGCTGACTACTGTCCGGCCATTGTAGATACGACTAGTTGCGATACTTCACCATAGTACTTTTTTACCGTGAGGCATCCAAGCTTCGCACAAAGTTTGAGAATAAATAGTGTAATGTGTCAGTACACCAAAACAAGATGCGTAACCCATTAAAGCCCCCAACAGAATAAGAATTTCACTGGGTCACATAATTTTTGTTATATTACCGCGCGCATACTGAGAGCTTTACGAGCAATCACGGCGCCGAAGATTCAGCCTTCCTACTGTATATGCTATATCCAGTTCTTACGAGCATTATTCACATCGGAGTTTTCTAGAGTCTTATTACCAGCGTTCTCTTCAAGGCGTATGGCTCAACAAGCAACCGCAAGATAAGATCAATCATCGAAACGATATACCAGCAAGCCATACTCATTGTGTTCTTTGATGATAATGGTCATAATGATTCTTCGAGTCCAGACCCATCACGTGCACCCTGACGGTCCAATGTCAAACGGCAAAGCCGTTCCCCGACTAAGAGAATGTTCCGAGGGTAAGATACTCCTACGGTTAGCCTCACCCCTGCACGAGATTTTGAGGGTGCTAGAACACACCGCTACGGAGCTAAACAACTGCATTTCAATTGTTTTGGATCTGGCTAAGCGAGCCGATCTTGCCCGTCTCCAAGCACAAAAAAAATCAATAAAGTTGCTTCAAACTGTGAGTTTTCTGCTCAATTCGAGAGCGATATAAGCTGCTGGAACTCGCTCCGAGCGTGCTTACTGACCTCGCAGGCAACCATTCCATAGAAATATCGCCGGTGAAACATCCAGCCGATACTGCCAAAGGGAGCGGTTGAATTCTTTTGTACCTCCCTGAGATGCATACCTCAGTTACAAAGCGCTGACAAAGCACATGAGGAACCCAAAACTTTATTTATCTATCCTCTAGCAACCGTTGGAGTGTTTTCCATGTAGCTAAGAACCATTGACCCATCTTAAATCAGTCGCAAATTTCCCTTTACGCTCTGAGGTCATTCTCTTGCCTCCAAGTCGGCACTACCCTTCTCCGAAATCGCTTCCTCGTAGCACAAGTGTTTGAGAGACTGTTGTGAACAGCGCCCTCTTACACTGGTGATTAGAAATAAGTTTGCTGTAAGAGCTAATTGAAGTTCCAATTCGACAAGATTGCTATGAGAGGACTTGGTGCCCCGAAAAAGTTACAGGGTCGGGCAGCGCAAGCCTTGAAACAAGTTTTAGACTTTGGCGGTAGTATTACCAGCAGGATCATGATGATGATCATGGCTATTAACAACGCGAACTTAACAGGATGCACCCACCTCATCGTCATTGTCGTGCTTTGTGCTTCGCATGATCAAGATTATATCGCCCTCAAGTATGACGTCCGGTTCAGAAAAAATGGCTGGTAAGACGGGAATAGCCGTTTTTACCCCCTGTGAAGTAATCTCCGGTACGTATAAGGATATTATTGAAATTGTGCCTCAGTTTGAATACACATAAGATCTTGTCTCACCACCCAACGACGCTCTCAACAAGAATCTAAAAGCGACTTGGATTGAACGTAAAAATTATTGGGCGACTCTGTGGAAGAACGCTCATTGCGGGCAAATCGAGGCATTGCAGCAGCCGTGCTCGACGCTTGAAGATCGCTGCGAACACCTTTCGAGCTTTGTTACAGCGCAGAACCCAAAACGCTAGGTTCAAACTGATGTTCCGCATACTACTCGGCTATGGACTTCCGTTTTGCGTAAGGGTTTCAGCAGGTCCATTATGAACTTGCTCGACTCCGGAATGATAAGAAGTTTCATGAGTTGACTCATGAACTCCAGTTGTGCACTGTTGAAGAGCCGGGCTCTGCTCTTTAAGTTTTTCATGGAGAGTACCATTTTTGCCTTCAAGCGGTGGAATTAGTTATGGAGTCATCCTTTAATGTCCCTAACGCTTCTACGCCGAGAATAATCCCCAGGATAAAGAGTTCGCGGATGAGTAGAGAAATTCATGATCAGCTCGATTATCTATCAAAAGTATAATAGGGTCGGTAGATTTACTCGTAAGATACAATTTTAGCCTATTCAACGGTCCTATGAATTGTGGCAAAAACTTCCCGCTTCCCAAGTTGGACACTGCATGCTAAAATGAGATTTGTCGTGCTAAGTAGTGTATACACATCAACCTTGTATGCTTTCCTGTTCTTCCGTGTGCTCTTAACCGCTTGTTCTTTTTTCAGATCTTGAGCTTTCACAATTGTGCAGCGGGGTTGCCGTAGCTTTGCGCTTAGAAGCGTAAGTTAGGTCATAGACCTTTCGTTCTATACTTTAAACAAGTGCGAGTTGAGCGGTTCCCAATCCGCTAACTCCAAGAATAATTATTGCCTAAGCCCAAGGCTAATTACTCTTCTGTTTAAATCCAAAACTGACTTTATTTATTTTTATCTGCGGCAAAGCCGCCTTATTTTAAATGTATAGATTTTCCTAAATATTTGTAGTAAAATCAAAATACATGCATAACTACTGGCCACCCAGCCACGTACCGTATTCTTATTTGGGTGAAGTCACACCATGCCTATCTTGTGTGACACACACCTGCTATCAGGGTACGTGTAACTCCGTTACACTCCCCCCATTAGATTGAGAACATTTACAGTTCCAATCGATTATTGCCTCAACGAGGCTTGCGTGTC